ACCCCTGCAATTCTTGTCGAGACATCTTGTAGATGGTCAGCGAAGCGTGTCGAAGCCGCCACCCAAGTCATCGTTGAAGCTTTGGAAAAGGTCAAGTTCAGGTAAGAATAGAGGTTCCAAAGCCACTACCATATTAAATCTAAAGGGAAATGATACAGTGGACGAATAAAAAGTATGAAATCATGGGACAAATGACAACCATGTCATTAATATATAAATTTTTTGAAAATTTAAATCAAGTAATTTTGCTAAGGTGACGTACCATTTTATAATTGTCCCGTCAAATTGTCCCGTTTTTTCGTCTTTCTCATCATTATTCAAATTTAAATAGGTATTATGAAAAAGATTATTACAGTTTGCACCTGAGTTTTCGTTCAAATGACAGTCAAGTTATATTTAAATGTATCTCTTTTTTCTTAGTAACAGTTCGAATAATAAAAATTATTAGATAAGATATATTTTTATATTAAACGTTTTTTTTATTTAATTATTTTATTTTGTAATTAAGCACAATTCAAATCACAAAATTAAAAATTATTTGTAAATTAACTCAACTAAATTAAAATTTTGAACTTGTCCTTAATTCAGGTGGGTTTCGAGGCAGGAAGTTAGGGATGCGGCTCGTGCCTACATTGGCGACACAGGACTGTTGGATTTCGTGTTAAAGTCACTTGGAAATCATATGGTCGGGAATTATCTAGTCCGTCGGTGCTTGAATCCGGTGACCAAAGTGTTAGAATATTGCTTGGAAGATGTTTCCGATGTATATCCGAACCAAGATTCAATAACTATCAACAAATCCAAGGTGGTCAATTCTAGGTATAAGATCACCAAGGCTCAATTGATGAAAGACATCTTTTATCTTTACAAGCATGTTCTTAAAGAGCAGAAGCCGACGACACTTAACACTGAGATTTTCAGTGCATTGCCAGTGGCGGTAAGGATAATTCTTGATACAAAATTTTTTGTCAAAGAATATGGTGGAGATTTGTCTACAAAAGTTGACACTGCCAGCATAAATGGCAAGTTAAGGCTGTTTTGCACTGTGATGTTGAGAAACAATGAAGAAATTGATTGTGAGGAGGTAAAAAGAATATTGACACCATACGAATGTGTTACTCTAAAAGAAAATGCTACATTTGATGACCTTAAGTTGGAGGTTGAAAAGGAATTTAGAGAAGTATATTGGAAATTGGAGAATTTCGTGGTTGAATCAATTGTTAATGTTAATGTAAAGGGGACGGACATGGTTTCTAGGAAAATTGAGATGGGTCAGAAAATTATCTGTTTGGGAAGTAAGAAAGAGAGAGGGATTCTTACCGAAGGAGGTGAAGGTAATCAGATGGTGGATTGTCCTTGTGGAGCTAAAGATGATGATGGTGAAAGGTTGGTCTTGTGTGATGTTTGTGAAGTTTGGCAACATAGTAGATGTGTTGGAATTCCAAATAACAAGGAAATCCCTCCAATATTCCTTTGTAAAAGATGTGACCAAAACATTATGTTATTGCCTTCTCTGCCATGATGACAACATGCCCCTTAAATGAAAATCCCACTCAAATGTGTTGGGAAATGTTGGGAATGCTTCCAAAGTTGTTGCCAAATAAAGTTGCAATGCACATTTGATCCCCTTTTTTTTATTTTATGAACATCGAAAAATAAAAAAATTAAGTAATTTTTTATTTTATTGTTTAATGATGCATTTTAAAAAAATTCTTTTTTTTTTTTTTAAGAAATTGACTTAAAAAATTTAATTTAAAATTCTGCTATCTAATATGAATTAAATGAGAAAAAAAAGATTGATTAATATTTCATAGAAAACACTATGAATCTATTAACTATAAGAATTTAATTGATTAATAAATAAGTGTTATATTATATTTTAAATTTTAATATACATATAACTTGATATAAAAACAAGTTAGAATCAAATTAATGCTTTAAATAAATTAATAATAATTATTGTAATAAAAATAAAAAATTTTAAATTTGAATTGTGCTATATATAAATAAAATAAAAAAATAAAAAATTATCTTTTGTCATATAATCTAAAATCAAAATAAAATAAAAAAGCAAGAATCAAACACCCAAATATATATATATAAATAAAAATTAAAACATCCTAATATTAGTACATCCATCGTATCTATTCATTAAATGTATCTCAATTCAAAATCCACTTAAGGAATGATTGTAACGTGACGTATTGATTTTTCGAATTATATATATATATATATATATAGATCCAATGAAAGGGGGGGCTTTATTGAAATCATTGAAATCCCAATTATAAAAGCTTAGGGGTCAAATTGAACATTTTACGATTTACCCGAGAAGCCAAAGAGTTTTTAATGCGCTGACACGTGCACTTCCGGCAGCCATCTTTACCGGCTTCACCGGTTTGTTTTTCGTAATTATTATAAACCACAAAAAAAAAAAAAAATCAAAACCATCTTCTTCTCCAGAGAGATTCACGTTTCCTTCCTCCGGAAGAATCTACTCTCTCTGGCTCCTTCGCCTTCCAATCTCGTTCTCATCATAGCCGTGGAATCCTTGATCAACGGTTCTTCCCCTCTCAGGTTCTTCATGTCTTTTCCCCCATTATTATTCGTAATAATCACTGTAATTTAATTATAAATTTTTCTGTTTTTATGTAAGTGCTATTGTGTTGTAGTTTGTGAAATTTTCTGTTATTTTTTTTTAAAAACACTTTTAATTGAATTTTCAATTTCAGGAATTGTATCTTTAGATGTGTCTGCAGTTGTTTTCCTTTTAATTTAAGGTATTGAGATTGTCAGGTTTAATGGGTTATGCTTAGTTTGGCTTGAAAGGAATTTTGTGACGGGTTTCTTGATGATAAAAGTTGGGATTTTTATTGTTAGAAGGCTGCGTTATTCTTTTCCCTTTTGTGGTCATAAAGGAATCGTTTTGGGATTTTAATTTTGCAGATATCTCACCTTGGGTTGGTTGTTTGACTTAATTTTCAGGTCATAGTTAGATGTTGATGTCTGAATTGGGGGGTCTATACGGAGGAAAGTTCAACTTTTGATTCTAAATTTCCAGTGGAATAGTTCTTTTTTTTAGGTACCGTGTTCAGTTCTGCAAATACACAGAAGGGTTTGGGGACATTAGGGAAATTGCTGTATTTTAGGATTGGGATTTCTTAACTTGATAAACATGGTGGTGCTGGAATCAATTGCAGCGACCTCTCTTCTTGGGCACCTACCACTGTGTGGAAGGGTCTCTGTGAGTGTCAGGGATGTTCCCTGCAAACAGAAATCTTTTAGTAACTGCCGGTTCCCCTCAACAGTTTTCATTGGTAAAAGGATAGGGGTGTCTCCCACTTCACCAAGATTGAGAGTTGATAGGTCAGTTAATTCATCAGTTAAGGCGCTTGCAAAGGAGCTGACAAAAGAGGTATATGCATTTAGAGAGGAAGATAGAAAGCCACGAGATTGGAATTACCAAGCTGATACTGGTGTTGATCGAAGACCTGGTTTGTGGCCACCGGAGAACAGGGCTGATAATCCCTCATTGCACAATCCCTTGCTTCGTCAGGAAAGGATGGGTTGTGGTTGGTTAAGTGCTATATTTGAATTGGAAGGAGTTATGGTTGAAGATAACCCTGATCTTGAGAAGCAAGCCTGGCTGACTCTTGCTGAAGAAGAAGGAAAATCTCCTGCTCCAGCCTTCATTCTTCGAAGAATAGAAGGGATGAAGAATGAGCAAGCAATTTCTGAAGTTCTGTGCTGGTCAAGAGACCCAGCAGAATTGAGAAGAATGGCTTCGAGGAAGGAAGAAATCCACCAAGCCTTGGAAGGTGGGTTATATCGATTATGTAATGGTTCCCGTGAATTTGTAAATATTTTGATGCATTACAAGATACCGATGGCATTGGTTTCCACCCGACCAAGGAAAACCCTTGAGACTGCAATTGTGACAGCTGGGATTGAGGGGCAGTTCAGTGTCATTGCATCAGCAGAGGATGTTTACCGGGGTAAACCTGATCCTGAGATGTTTCTGTATGCTGCACAGCTTCTAAATTTTATACCTGAACGCTGCATAGTGTTTGGAAATTCTAATCAGACAGTTGAGGCTGCACGTGATGCACGAATGAAGTGTGTGGCTGTCGCTAGCAAACATCCTGTGTATGAACTTGGGGCTGCAGACTTGGTTGTGAGCCGATTAGATGAGCTTTCAATTGTTGATCTGAAGAACCTTGCTGACATCGAGTCGTCTGAATATGGATCTGGAGAGCCAGAGTTAGAAATGGAGATGGAAGAGGAAGAGGATGGCCCATCATCCACCACAACAGCAGTTGATGATATCTTCTGGTAACCATTAGAAATTGTACAGTTTTCTTTATGCTTTCACCTAATTCTTGATGATAATGGCTCCATATATTGCCATTTCTGTGTATAACAAGAAAAAGGAACAAAAAAACAGGAAATTTAGAAAAACACAAAGGTGGTCTGCATTAGACTACCCCAATATTACAATGGATGTATTATTTGTACCATATATATGTGCTTAATACTTCAAATTATTAGATCATGCTTCTCTCTATTCCAGATTTCTAGTTCAATGTTTAGACTAGTACTATCTACACATTCGGAATGATAACTCCAGTGAGTAGCTAGCTTATGTCTAGGACCAAACGAGGGAAGGTATCTAAAATCTCTCATGATATAATTGCTAAACACAGTTGATTATGAGATCCATGGTTGTCAGACAGACATGACAAGCACAATTAGTTTGACAAAAACTAGATAATGCCAAGCATGCCTAAATCAAAGGTGAATATTTTGTCTCCCAATTCTAGAATTTGCTGTTTGCATGTTCAAGTGATGTCGTGGAAGGTACAAATGCCCCCTTAATTCAGTGGGAAACATGAATGCATTTAGTTTGAGATCTGTCACATGCTTGAAAACTGGCGGACAGCATTCATCCTCTTGGTAAAAGGTTATTCCAAACTACAGGCCTGTCTTGGGTTGTTGGGTTGAACCTCCAACTAGAAGCAGTCAAATTAAGTCTATATCACAAGATTAAGAAACATGTGAGCAATTGCATCATTAGTCAATTATTGCCTTTGACAATATTGTGAATTCACAATCTGCCTCCTTACTTCTTTGTATCTATCTTTTACATTTTATGGTACTGCGCTATGTTTTTACTTCTTTTGTGTGTTGGATCACACAATGAAATGTTATCATGTTGTTGCTGTTTATTTATTTATTTATTTTCTTATTTTTCTATTATTGCAAATGAAAATTTATTCATAAATAAAAGAGTTAAAAAATTAATTCGATACAGAATACAACTATTAACATCATGGGAGAAATAAGAAGTACATTCATTTCTTTATCGATTTCCAATATTAGATAAGTAAGCGATTTTTTATTAATCCTATTAGTTAGCACATTCATCACCTCATCAATTTCTTCTCTTTTTTTTGGGTAAATTGATTTTCTGTAATTGGATTGTTAATGATTTTATTTTTTAAATGTGATACGTATTTTCTGTAAATAACAAAAATAGATTAAAATCTAAGTTTTTGCCTTGCAAAAAAAAAAAAAAACAATTTTGAACCAATTGTAATTATTTATATATTAATTAAAAAATTAAAAAACTAAACTCACAAAAAATAACAAATTTAACCGAGAATCCAATACTATTGAACCGGTCCTTCGAGAAAAAAAAAAAAGAAAAAGAAAAGGGTTGAAGTTACAATTACAAGGATATCCGCGTACCATTGCAGCTAGAGATTTATGTTGGTTTTACCCGAAAAGGGGATTTTTAAATGAGACAGATTAGACAAACTGAAAAAGAAAAGGTATCTAATTATTACGTTCACATAATTTGTGGGCGGCGGACTTTTATTTTTTAAATAAAACGGGGAAAGAAGTGGACACCGGAGAGATTGGAATGTGTTTGTAATATATTAATATTTAGAGTTGTAATTTGCTTTGCATTCCCTGTGGCTGTGATGGCGGTCACTTTTTTTAAATAAGAAGTAAGTGGAATGTATTTTAATTTATAAGTTAAGTTTTAAATTTTTTTTGAATAAGTATTAATTTGGTATTATACTTTTTTATCAAAAAAAAGTTGTAATTTTTTTTAAACATTTTAATTATAAGGTTTGTTCGAATCGTTGTCCTTAAAAAAAGAAATATAAATCTTATAAAAGTGGTTAGAACCACTTAACTCACAGAATAAGATTAAAAAAAAAAATTGTAATTTGCTTTTTGTTCTAGAACAAAAAAAAAATCTAGGGCAAATCTTGTGCGTACTACTAAGGTTTTTTTAATTTTTGATTTAAAAATATAAATTTATTATTTTTTTATTGTAAATATTTATAAAAAATATAAAAATTAACATTAATTTTTATGTTGATGTTAAATAAATAAATTTAATTAAAAAATTAATAAATCAAATATTAATTTTTATTTTTAATATAAATTTATAATAAAAACATATATTTAATACATTTTTACTACATATTCTCACAATAAAAATTAAATAAACTCATATATTTAAAAGATATTTATGTACTTTCATAACATAAACTAAAACGATAATAAATATATTTTTTATATGAAATAATTAC